CCTCCAGAGCAGCCCCTGCCTTGCTGGAGAGCAGTCTGGGGAGCAGCAAGCCTCAGCCTCCTCCCAAGTCTGGCTGTCTTTGCAGTCTTCCCAACAAAAGTGTTCTCAGCTCCAGCGCCTCTGTCTCGTTGCTGGTGCCTCTGACCTTGGAAGCAAAACCCAACTTCACAGTGTGTTCTCAAGTGTGGATGAAACCTGGAAAGCATTTCCGTTTCTGGGAATTTGGTCTTTAGCCCTAACCGGGTCCTGTGTCCTTCACACTCAGTGGCCTCGCTCCAGGGTCTGTTGCTCCTGGTGCAAATGAACTTGGCACACACCAGGCAGACACATTTCCACCACACAGCTTACCCGGAGGTGCCCAGCCACGAGCCGTAAGCTCCCGTCCGCCTCCATCCTCCAAAGCCTGGTCTGAAGGTCAAAGGAGGGAACCTTCCGTTCCCTCATGCACCCAGCTCAGTCCCTGCTGCTTCAAGGTGAGATGGCGAACACCTGGATTAGCATCTTGACTCTCGGCTTCTGTTGTAAGATAAGACTACCCCAGTGTCTCTTTCCCTCCCCGGCGTCTAGCCCTGGACTCCAGACAGGGCTCTGGTCCTCGGGACCTCTGCACTTCCCAAACGAAGACGAGATGCACCAGTGTGATTCCAAGGAAACTTTCGGTTTCGGATGCCGGGACCCTTGGACACCCATTCTCACATGTGGCCTCCTCTCATGTTTTAGACACACTGGATGGCTTGCAAATTCTTTTCTACCCTGAAAATTATAGCTGCCTTTGGTGGTGGGTTTGCTTAATTTTTATACAAGGTTTCAGCTGACCCGGAGCTGTCTGTGTAGCCCAGGCTGGCTTCAAACATATAGTGCACCTGTCTCAGCCTCCAAATGCTGGGACTCCAGGTGGCTACCACTAAACCTGGCTATGAACTTGTCATAGAGAACCACAAAGGAGTCACAGGCACTCTTGAAGAGCTAGGACTCAACAGCTTAGACTTTATGGTTCCCAGGGTGCTCTCAGAGTCTTCCCTCACACAGACACAGTGGTTTTCCAAAATCATTAGAGCTTTAGGATAACAAAATGCCTTGTAAAAATACAGCAGAAGCCAACAGCCCAGATGTTCCACTTTTAACTGGTTTAGAGCATTCTGACTTTCTCTTGGAAGAGAATTACAATATTTGATGCGGCAATCTTTCAAGAGGCTAAGATCTTAGCTTGTTCTGGATTTAAGGAGTTTTGGAGCAATCCACTGAAAGACCTGAGAACAATGTGATCAGAATTACAGTACAGAACTCTGCTGAGTGGGCTCAGAGCACCCCGGAGCATGTCACATCTTGCACTGTGATTCTGACAGCATCAGGTCCTGGGAAGGTGAAACACCAGGCTGTGGGCCTGCCAGGCACGGCTTGGACTCGGCAACATTACAAACTGCTGCACTCACAAATAGCCAGGCATTCACACTGCTTTCACCATGGGCAGAACGACAACACGACACCAAGCACTCGCCCCTTGCCCACACTGAATTCGTTCCATCACCCAGTGCAGCTTCGTCCTTGCTCTCTCTTCCATAAAAAGTCACTGAGCTACAGAGTCATAGAATTGCCATGTCTTCTCACATGCCCAATCCAGAGCAAAGCCTTAGGTCCTTGATTCTCTCCAGAAGTGCCCACCGCCCTCTTGCCCAGACTCCCCACAGTTTGCACGACTGAACAGCTTCAGGAGCTGTCGCTGCTGCCCCTGAAGGTCACCGTCATTGTCTCGGGAAGGAGTGTTGGCCTTTCCCATCTGAGACATGCTTCCAGGTCCAGTCTCAGGTGAGCAACTCAGAAGGATCTTGTGAGAGTGGGGAAAATGAGATTTCCAGGTCTGGATTTCTCTACCTCCTACCAAGACACAGAGAGATTTCCAAAATGTAGGAATTAAATTGAAAAAAAAAAAAAAAAAGGAGAGGAAGGGAAAGGGGGTGAAGAAAAAAAGAAAGACGAGGAGGAAGATGATGGGGTAGAACTGCAAGATAATGAAGAGGAGGATGTCGGCAAGGAAGGAGAAAAAAAGAACAAGAGGGGCGTGAGGGAAGGAAAGGAAAGGGCAGGGCTGACCTACATTTCCCAGGTGGTATCTTGGAGAGGCTCCTCCCCCTTCCTCCTGCCTTTAGGGAGGTTGGAACAGACTGGAAGTAAAGCAGCCTGGGGCAGATCTGTGCTGTCCTGTGCTCCAGGCTTCCTGTGGCATAAAATCTGTCCTCACACATTGACCTCATAGCCCAGAAAAGCACAAGCTAAGCACTTCTTATTCAGCGGCAGCCTCACATGCCTCGGCGTCAGACTTGGAGCTTCTATGGCTCATTCCCCTAACTTTTCCCTCGTGTTCAGAGTAAAGAGAGAAGCTGAGAAGCCCTCAGGCTTATCTTCCCAAACAGATGGCTCTTCACACATCCAAATGGTCACACTCAAGTCATGCTCACACCTAGCCTTACGGAGCAGAAGGCATGCTGGAATCAAGGTTTTGAGCTGAGCAAAACACCAAAAGGAATGAGAGAATGGATGAGAGGCAGTAGATAAGAATTCTGGACAAAAGTCACTTTGTAGTTTTCCTTTATGTAAACATGACAATGTGTGTGAGCAGGAGGGCCTGAGGTAAGCCTGGAAGATCAACTATTCATGTTCCGCAGCACATAGCCAGCGAACCCAGCCAGCCCCCTGCAATAATTGTCACTACTGTCTGATCCATCAATGGCTGCTAAGTCGGGTCCATTGTCAGCCTTGGTCTGTTCTTGTCAGTTCAGTCTCCCAGCACTGAGGAAGGTGGAATAGAGACACTGACAGCCTTTGCGATCAATGAAGAATTAGGGAAAACCTTTTAAGAAATGAATGAAATCTAACTTAACACGGACAAGTCACGTGTAATCCTTTCACTCTCCGCCAGGGTGCACAGTGGCTATGGGATGGATGGATGTGTGTCACAGATGTGCTCTTGTGGCCACGGCAGTCTTCTGTGTTCTGGGAGGTTCTGTGGGCCAGTTACAAAGACATTAAAAAAAGTCAAACTGTTTCTCATTTATTTTGCTTCTTGAACGTAAATCCAAATCAAAACTTTAAAACTGTAACCTGAGCAATAATTACTAATCTTGAAAGATTATTGACTGAGGGTTGGTAGGGTTGCCTGGGCCTCGGGAAGCAATGTTTTAAAGAGTTGGGAGGACAGAGTCTACGCTCCTCAGCAGAGCTGACTTGTGGGACTGTGAGAATGGAAGGGTTAACAGACTCAGCAGTGAGCTTCATTTCAGACCGTGAGGACCAAAGTGGACCTCTGGGCAGAGCCTTTCACCGTGATTTAGAGTCACCTTATTGATACCAGGAAGAGGCTACTGAGGATGACGTGAACACACAGCCAGGGTCGAGGATGGTGAGCTACAAGCTTGAAGACCTCGATGTCACCCCCAGACTGGAGAAAAATGCGTGCATACGGGGAGCTCACAACAAAATCTTTGGGACATAAGGTAATTTTAGGTGTGTACCTTTGTCAGAGGAGCGGCTGTGCTGAGCTCCTCTGACTGGTTGGTTCAGGCATAGCCAGCATGCGACCTACAGTCCACAGATGCTGAGGACAGCAACCAGTGCAGCTCAGTACAAAGGCCTAACTTTATCCGGGTTTTGTAACCAGACTGTGTGGTTTTGGGGTGTGAACTTTGTAGGTCCGTCATGTCGACATGTTAAAAGGTTGAGCACTCATGGCCACTGATCAGCCTTTACCTCATGGCAGGCTTCTAATATTGTCTGACTTTGCTTTAACGCTGCATTTTCAAAATGATTTTGTAATTCCAAGTTGGATTTACAAGTGGATATCAGCCAGAAGAATCAGGAATCCAAGGTTATTTTCCTGTACACAGTTAGTTCCCAACCATTCTGTGTTAATGAGATCTTGACTCAAAAGATTAAAAAAATGTGGATTAATCCTTGACTGATACATACATACAAATGCAAACACACGAGTGTGATCACGTGTGCACACACACAGAGTGCTTGGCACGTGGGCATTAAAGTTATTTACTTTTCATTAATTCCTTGAATGATACATAGAGCTTTATTGAACATCTAATTAGTGCTAGATAGTGTATGAAAGTCTGGAGACTCCATGGTTGGTTTTGGAGAATACATTTCCATAGATCAAATTTATAATACATGAATAAATAAAATGATGGCCACCCGAGTCAGTCATGACCAGCCTTGATCACCTGATTCTGACGCCCTTGCTTCTACCATTGCCAACATTACAGTCTCCACCACCATCACAGCCACCACCATCACCATCACCACCACAACCACAACCACCACCATCACCATCACAGCCACCATCACTATCATCACCACCACAACTGCCACCATCATAACCACTACCCCATTTCCATCACAGATATCACCACCACCATCACCACCATCACAGCCACCACCACCACCACCAACACCACCACCATCACCATCACAGCCACCACCACCACCACCATCACCATCACAGCCACCACCACCACCATCACCATCACGGCCACCACCACCACCACCACCATCACAGCCACCACCACCACCACCATCACCATCACAGCCACCACCACCAGCACTTCTATCCTCCACAGCCTCTCTAGAACCCCACTGTCGCCGTGGCCACCCTTTCTACCACAACCAGCGCCAGCCTCACCACCAACATTATATCCATCACCACCATCACAGCCACCACCACCATCACCATCACAGCCACCAACATTATATCCATCACCACCGCTCCTCTCAGTACCAGCGCCATCCGCCTCCATCACCGACCCTGCCCCACCCTGTCCACTGCCATACCGACTTCCCTGCTCCATCAGCTCCCTGCCTGCCTCCACTGCGGCCCTGTGCTTTCCAGTGAGGTAATTTCTAGTGGATGACCAGCCTTGCGGTAAGGTGAGCTGGGACGCATGCGCTGAGGTTCTGTGACCTGGCAGGCTCACACGCTGCCATCTTGGTTCATGACCTCACTGGCTCGCATCTTCAGAGCCAGGCCTGCAGTTCAGCACCTCTGTCCCTGCCGCAGGGACTACAGAGCTGTCAACAGTGACAGCCAAACCAGTCCGCTGAGGACCAGGGCGAGGACCCACCCTCGAAGAGCCGGATCCCGGAGCCGCCCAGCCTCTGCCCCGCCCTGCCCCCTTCCTGCCAGGCTGTGTAGAACAACCGTCTGCCTGAACCGTAGTGTCGCCTTAACTGACTAGTACTTACCGTCTGCTGCCCAGAGCACCGCGGGGAGCTGGCTGCCTTTGGCCGGATCCTGCTGCTGAGCAGACGCTGCCCTGGGCGCTGCTGTTCGGAAAGGCTCCCTCTGCGCAGCGCTCTGGCACCTTCCTGCTCCGCACTAGCAGCCGGGGCACGCTGGCAAGGCTGGCGGAGACCGAGGCCTCGCGCAGACACTGCCCAGGGAGCAGGGACAGAGGAGCAACGGCGGCCGTGGCGAAGAGCTCCCTTCCAGCGCCAGCGAGAGCCTTAGCTGCTAGGATCTCGGGGAGCCGAACGTCCAGGCTCGCTTTGAGTTTCGCATTGTGACATTGTGTGTTCTCGAGATGCTTGCGGGATTTTGTTGAGAGTTTCTTCCATCGTGGGTTCTAAGTGTGGATCGTGCCTTGTGTTTCGGAGTCCTGCACACCTGCCGGCAGAGGGGGTGTAGTGGAGAGGTTCCACACCTGCCACGCGGTTCTCCTCCCTCCGTTCACTCCCGCCTCCCTTTCCCCCAGTCCCGCTTTCCTGGAGCACCCAGGCCCAGTCCCGCAAGCTGAGGACTCTCCGAGGACACACTGGTGTGGCAAACCGGTCTCGGGTGCCATTGAAGACCAAGCAGTTCGGGTTCTAATTGAGTCAGAGCAGCAGAGATTGGGGCCTTTGTTGTCCTGGGCACAGCCTCTGTTCCTTTGTTCGCCACCAGCCTCCCCCACCCCCCCAGGCCCCGGCTCCCGGGTGTGATCGTTACAAACTAGGCTAATTGTGATGGAGTTAGATGAGGCTGTACAGAGGAGAGGTCTTCCACAGTACCGCCTCCACGCGGGTACACGTGGTCACCAGAAAAGCGCTTTGTAAAGATGGGGGACACGCAGGAGTGATGTCCAAAGGCACCAGGAAAATATTTTGTGAAGATGGAGGGTGAAGTAGGAGCGATGGTGTCCTGCAAACTGGGGACCCTGACAACCCCGGTCCTCGCCAGCAGCTAAGGGAGCAGAGAGTCTGAACGGGAGCTTCCAGAAGCCTGTGCCTCCTGATGTCTGCGAGGGGCCCTGGCCTCCAGCCCTGGAAGACAACTACCGTTTTCTGACGGTAGCTTTTATGTGAGCTCTGGGAAACTGATACACTGTTTTGTGCCTTCTTTGGGCTCTTTTCCTTTTTTGTTCAATTTTTACGTGGTAGTTTATGTTTTGTGTTATCATTAACCCTTATGAGCCTGTTTGTTTTCTAATGAGAGACAGAAAGGAGGTGGATCCAGATAGGAGGGAGGTGGGAAGGGGCTGGGAGGAGCAGGAGGAGGGAAACCATAGAAAAAAATGTATTATCATAAAACAGAGGGAAAAGAATTGGCTCATCTGGAGAGACGGCTCAGTGTTAGCCACCTTGCTGCTCTCGGCCACACTCCACCTGTGTCCCCAGAGCCCACTTCAGGCATCAGTTCCTGTAACTCTAGCTCCAGAAGGATCCGTTGCCCCCCTGGCCTCTTCAGGCCCTGCACACTTTTGGTGATGGACACTCACACAGACACATAAATAAAAATAAACATGTAAAGCCTTTTGGGCCTCACTATTAAGGGTGCGGTCTGCCGGATGTGCAGAGCCCTGAGCCTGATGAAATGGAGGAGCCCTTTGTCAGTGGGGCTTCCTCTTCTCTGCCTGGGGAGCCCGAGCCCACACGCCTCTACCCGAGGAATGTCAAGTGGGTGTTCGAAACGTTACAGGTTCAACTTCTTTTCTCGAAGGGGAACTGGCTCAGCTGGCACCTGGCTGCCTGGAATGCCTCTCCACGCAAGTGAGGGTCCCCAAGCCTTGAAGCCCTCAGCCGGTGTGCACCTGCTCTGGAAACCCCTTCACTTCCCCAAACTCTTGTACACCCCACTAAAGCACACAGAAGCTGTTTCCCTGCGTGTCCTCTGAGAGCTGGAACACGGAGGCCCTCGGTGAAGCCCTTTCCCGGCAGCGCTCTCGGCTGACCGGATCCTGCACACCCCCCATTCCAGCTCCGCCACCTTCCCAGCCCGGGGCGCAGCGATGCCTGATGCCCCAAGGGGAGACAAGAGCTCGGAGGCACAGAGAGATACACTTGGCTCTTGTCAACAGGGTGCATGTTTCCTGTTCCCTTCTGCACCCTGTCCGAACAGACGCCAGAACACCCCAGGGCCACACTGTCTGCGTGCGTGAAGTTTGCTGCAGCAGGGCACACTTGGACAGAGATGATACGGACACAGCATAAAGGACACTTTGGCATCCATCTATGTAACGTGTGAGTCAGTTTTGTGGTTTCCCTAAGCCAGCGCTCGCATCTGGCGAGGCCGGCCGGCCGGCCCTGCAGCTCTCACATCAGCCCTGTCACCGTGCTGAGCGGACGATGCTGTGCTCACCCTGACAACAGTGGCGTCGCCACATCGGACCCTCAGGACGGGACCCCGCACATGCTCTCTCCCTGTGGGAATGACGGCACAGGCAGAAATCCGTGACCCAGCCTCTCCTCTCCAGAGCACACAGCATGTCTTCCCTTTGCTGTGTCAGCGCCGGGCACTGTGCTCTCCCGCTGTTGGCTTTCTCCCTCCTGTGACCTGCCTCTAGCTCTGTGATCCCTCACACTGAAGCAAGTATGTTTACGTGTGTGCCTTTTGTTTTACGTCTGTGTAGACTACACAGGTACATTTTTTCCTGTTTGATTTGGCTAAATTAAACTCTTATCCGCATATCTTCTGTGGTCTGACTGCAGAAACTTTCCTTATAGGTGAACATACTTGAACGCTTGGTCTGGGGTTGGCTCCGCAGGTTGTAGAGTCTCTAGAAGTTGGGACCTCGCTACGGGAAGCAGGGGAGCGAGGGCAGGCCGTGAAGGCCCATGCACAACACTGCTTCCTGCTGGCGTCCCTGTGGTGACTGCGCCCTCACCCCCGGCCCGGACCCTGTCCTCACCCACACGCAAGACCCTGGGGAGCAGGAACAGTGCCCTGTGGAGGGGCTCGAGTGTAAGTGGGAAGTTGGTTGTGAACACGTCGTGCAGTTATTACAGCAGGCAAGCGTTGCTCTCAGGAAGAGAGCCAAACTATCAGGAGGCCATGAAAGGCCTTGCAGACTTCCCAGTTCGGACCTGGCTTGTCTGGCCACGCCTCCGCCATCCCCCAACAAAACTAAACCCAGGGCTGGCGGCTGAGTGCAGCTTCAGCCCCGCCTTTTCCCTTGAGTGCCCTTCTCAAGGCATGCTTCACCTTCCAGACCAAGGCTCATGCCCTCTCACCTTACCTGCCCGTTCCCTTACCTGCAGTAAACATACTGCTTGGAGATGTCAGAGACCACCTGTAGAAACTCACCAACCTGCCTCAACTTGCCCGTTTCCTTACCTGCGGTAAACATACTGCTTGGCAACAGCAGAGATGTGCTCACAGAACCATGGCTTATCACAAGATGTTTCAGGCCCCTGGCCGAGAAGAATCTGTAATTTTTCACCCACCCTACTTCCTCATCCTGAATCCTATTTAAAGCTGATTCTGCTTAGTAAAGTTAGTCCTTGACAAGCACCTGTTTGCTTGGACTCCTTTCTCTTTCTCGCCCATCTTTTCACAGGTTTGGATTCTCTTTTAACCCACGAATAACCTTAGCTCTGCTGGCTGGAGCAAGTAGGTGCATCCCCTTTCTCAGGAAGTTCAAGCACAGTGCTATTTTCTTCTCTGCCTTTGTGGCCAGGACCCATGACCTGTGCACCAACCGTCTGAGAGCCAGACCTCTCTGCCTCCCCCTTCTCTCCTCAGCTTTAAGCTCTTCTTGTCCTCCTGCAACGTCCTCATTTCTTTCATGCTCTACAGTTTCTAGCCTGAAAATCTGCGCCCTTCTCGTGGCTTTTCTCTGCACCAAATCGAACCCTCTGTGTGGGGCTCTTGGAATGTGTTATCATTTCATACAAGGGTTTCCCATTCCCTCACCCCAGGGAAAGGGGGAGGCAAACCCACCTGACAGTGCTACCCAATACACACTCCTTTGACCCAGACCATGACTCACGCAGGTGGACGCGACACACACAGCACACACAGATGCTCACATCTCTTTTGCTGTGGTCTGGCTCCAGCATATGGGATGACGCAGGAGTAACAGGAAGACAGAAAGGCTGAACCTGACAGTGTTAATCTGGAAAGATGACCAAAAGACACCGGAAGAACAGAAGCAATCGGCACACACTGAAGGGTTCCTATGGCTTATGCTAAAATGTTTAAGAAAGAGAAGAATAATTGTTCGCCTGTGACTTAAGTTTAAAAAGCTGGGAAACTACAAAGAAAAGAATGGATTTATCTGGAAGGAGGGAACAAAGGACAGTGGGAGGGTAGAAAAAAATGAAGCTTTCCAAAACTGGAAAGCTGCATATATATGTATGAGTTTAAATATATGTAAATTTAAATTTACTTAACTAAAAATGTTTTTGTCCTAGTATTAAACTGCAGAAAATCAACTCCTAAGAGATTTGGGAAAAAAATGTGCTTGTTTTCTAGTGTGCACATAAAAGAGTTGAGTGAGTTCACACTTTTAAAGGAGTGTCACTCAGGAAGCAGAGGAGAAAAGAAAAATAACCTGAGAAGAAAGACATCAAAAAGACAAGTGACCACAGCAACCACTCAGGCCCTGAGGGATTCCACTGTCCCTGCCCCTGGCAGTGTGCACTTGGTTCCGTCGGGTTCAGTGATTGTGGAACTGGAGTAACCGAGAACAGAGAGTAAAGGCTTTACGCTCTGATGTGCAGGAAGTGAAACAAGGCTGACGCTGTGACTGTACCACCTCAGACCTCTTCTTGAGGGGATCAGGACCTCGGGTGTGTGAGGCAGGCATGACATCCTGAGCTGCACCCTCAGCAGATGCAGAGCAGGACTAAGAATGCAGGGAGATGCAGGCTGCGTGCGCAACTCCACAACCGGTGACTTGAAGCCATGAGGACAGAGGCTTCCTCATGGGCAGTGAGCAGTCTGTCCTTCCGTGCTGGGTCACACTTCCTCAGCAGAGCTGGGGGAGGCTGTCAAAGAGCAGACACAGCAGCATGCTTAAGGCAGGCCAGCTCTGACCAGCTCTGACCAGCTCTAAGCAGCTCTCAATTCTGCTTACTTGGTCATGAAAACCTATACAAGGTGTACAGCAAGTCCAGCTTGTGAGTAAACTCACAGAGCTCAGTAAAGCGCAGCGGAGCTTGCTTCACTAGGCCGCTCTGGGCTGCGCCCACCTCCTCCCCACTCTTATGTATCAGCCATTAAGCTGGAGCCACGACCCTGTGTAACATAATTCAGTGGAAAAGGACTTTTAACATGCTTAATAGGCATATGAAATATTATTCCCCTGAGTCTCTGGAATATAAAAGTGGTACCGTATTGGCAACTTAAAATGAACATTCTTTTCAGTACATGGCTTTGAATGGAAAAAAAGACATGAAGAAAAATTAAATAAACCAAAATGTTGGCTTTGCTTTACTGCAGACAGCGGTCTCTGTTTGCCTCAGACACAGCGACAGACGGGTGGCGGGCTCAGCTCTGTGACCAGCCCCTTGAATTTCCAGGCTCAGATCCCTGTGTCTTCAACTATTATGTAATCAAAAATATTACAGAACGGGCTCCTGTCCTACCTCGGTCCTTCCCTCTCCTTCTGTCCCTCTGGAAATCTCTGGAAAACCCCGTGAGGCAGCCCTTGCCTTCCTCCCGCTGGATGCTCAAATGATGATAATACTTTACTATTTGCTTGGATTTTCCTCTGAACACATTAAAACATACAATATCAGTGACAGCACAGTATTCTTAAAAGTAAGTGTGTCTGAAGGACAAAACCCATCACCCAGCACTCGGGAGGGAGCTGCCCTGTTGGCACTTCCGATGGCTCTCGTAAGCTTTTCCACTCCAGTCACCTGCTCCTTAACCCCAGCACACTTTCTTAAGATCTCCATGTCTGATGTTTCAACCTCTGCATCATTTTCTTGATTTTTATCTAGAGGTCTGCCTGTGCT